TTGAAACCTTTAATTTTCGTCTAATTCTTACTTCAGTTTCACTTATTCCCACCCCGTTTACAGATCTGTTTAAAAATATCGCCAACAGCTACTGGCACAAACAACGGATTTTCTGTCTTGTCCATGCATTTCTTCTCCTCAGCACTGCCAGTCTAGGGCCCAGTGAATTGACTTTCGATGTCGATGAGCTTTACTTGTCATCTAAGGGTTCATGAAACTTATTTTAGATGCATGTTAGAGAGTTCTTATTACAATGACTGGTCTTCAATGCCACTCAAATTAGAATATGTTTCAAGCGAACTGAAACTAAGTTAATAATTAATTTTAAAATTATAAACTCAGTAATCAATTATCAGACTTGTTCGTTATAAGGAATCACAGTCAAATACTAACTATTTTATTAATGCACTATCTCTAGCAGCTAAATACGAATACAAGTCCAAGCTGTTTATGAAAAGAACTAAGGATATTCTTAAATGTATCTACAGATTGTTCGTATACAACGATGTGCGAACGCATTTCTGTACTTATACTTGTATAGGCGATGGTAAATGGTATGATGCAGCCAACGAGAAACTCCATTTGCTTTAACAATTAGAAACATGTTGTGATTAGAAAAATAATTGTGTTGGATTTCATCTGATAATAAATAGAATAGAGGGTTAATTGTTCTTCATTGTTCATTTGAACTAATGTGAAAGGGGACACAGCGTAACGTTCATAACAAAGAGATATTTTTTAGAATGCTTTTAGTGAACGAATGGATTTTTCCTTAGAAAATTGATGGCAGTTCAATATTGAATGTTTCGATTGATAATCGAAATACAGAAGTTTTCTAAAATATAAGTTTCATGCCAATTATAGGTTTCTCATTGAGCCGAACTCTTGAGAAAAACAAAAAACAAAAATAGTTCTCATTAAACCGACTTTATTAAAATTAAAGGATAACTTCTGTCAGTTAATCAAACTCGATATGTCGATATGTTCTTATGATTCATTTTACACGAAGAAAAAGTTGAATGGAATTATTTGAAAATAACATATATTGTCTAGTAGACAGCAGATGAACAACTATTTCTTAAATATTTTAATAATTAAATAAATGCAATATTTCGTTTCACAAAAAATTTCAAAAACCTTTAACTGATGATCAATCGAAGAAAATGATTTATACAAAATAAGCAAATGATTCACATCTTCCATTCATACCCTCCATTTATCTATTTGACCACCATCGATGAAACATTCATTATTCGTTACGATATAAATTGTTTTTCTTTTCTGTTCGTTAACAAACATTTGATATCATGTCAATATCGATATTACACTTCGTTCTATTTTCCTATCAAATATTTTCAAGTACTTTTGCTTGGGGACCCATTGGTCATAGTCTTGTTGCACGTCTTGCTCAAAGTCAATTGGATTCATCTACTTACAAGTGGGTTTACAATTATATACCATCGGATTTGTCGGGTAATTTAAGCGCAATAGCATCATGGCCTGATCTTATACTCTATCCGGATACAAATCCACTTGATTATATGAATTGGCAGTGGTCTCGTGAATTACATTACATAAATACACCTGATTGGAACTGTCAATATATTTCAACGAGAGATTGTTTAAATGATAGATGTGTTGAAGGTGCATTAAAAAATTATTCACAAAGATTAATTGATAATAAATGTGATTATGTTCAACAGCAGCAAGCTCTTTTCTTTCTTGTTCATTTTGTTGGTGATGTTCATCAGCCTTTACATTGTGGTTTTAAAGGAGATTTCGGTGGAAATATTGTTAAAGGTACAATTAATTTTTCTTTGGTTCAATTTAATTCAAAATTTTGTTTTAGGTTTTTTTTTAAATGAAAAAAATCTAACAAATCTTCATACAATATGGGACGTTGAAATAATTAATAATCATATTGATCTTCATTTTCAATCGGATATTAATCTTTATTATGAATATTTAAAATCACTTATGTTTAATCAATCTTTATTAAATAATGAAACATACAATGATTACAAAGTATGGATTGATGAAAGTGTTAATTATGTTTGTAAACAAGTTTATTTAGATGATAATAATATTAGAATTAATACTTCATTAAAGTTTACATTAGGGGAAAAATATTTCAATCGAAATTGGCCTCTTATTGATCAACGTTTAGCACAAGCAGGTCATAGACTTGCATCGTTACTTAATCAACTAGTGAAAAAGCGATCATCAAGAAAACTTTCACCAGATACACAAGCTCTTATTATTGTTTTATGTATTGAATTAGGTATCGGTATTATTGCTGCTACGTGTATTTATTTGTATAAGCGAGAAAAAAATACAACACATGAAGTTTTGATGCCTAAATAAATCATATTATTTTGAATAAATAAAATACGACTTCTAGAACTTGAATATAATTTTGTTGCTAAGACTGATGTCCTACTTTTGATCAGTAGGAAAGACAATATGAAAAATCGAACTGAAACAGTATGCGTCACTCTATTCGAGCAGAATCTGAATTAGGCGATTTTCTTATCAATTCATAACATACGAAAAACGTAGTTTTTGCCGATGATGAGTGCACTTAATGACATACGATTTTAAATCTAACAAGTAACGCTAACCGAGTGTCGATTAGCTTAACACCAGACTGATATACGACCGTAGAAATGGAAGATTGCTAGCCTCTGTCTGACTCCAGAACCTAGAAAACCACAGGTTATCGGAACTTCTTTTTTCAGGATTCATTCTTCTACAGGACTTGCATATTTCAACAGTGTTCTTTCATTCTGAATGTATTTTCCAACACCCCTCCCCACAGGAACACTCTCGCCATTGTCATTAATCTATGCTAAGTTTCACTCTTTTCCACGCCCACACCCTTAAGAAAGTCAGATCTATCCCACGATATTTATGGACTTATCGAAACCTCCAAATTAATCACACAAAGATAAATCTCAGCAGGTGCTGACTAATACTACCAATTATATCAAGACTTTAGCGGTTTCAACTTTTAATAGTCACCTATATCGTCAGTATGAAGTATTCCTCTTTTAATATAGATATTCTTACAAGAAATGTAGCGCAAACCCATACCCATGATACAAAGCACTGTAGTCATGACACAAGCGGCCCTATTCGTAGTCCAATGTATCACAGTTACCATATCAAAATGGCCGCCTTCATGTTTCAAAATACGATAACTATCATCATGTATGCCACGACCCTGGTATATTGTACTATGACTATAGTCATTTGTACAATGACTGTCGTATTTTGTACTATGGGTATAGTCGTTTGTACTATGACCCTGGTACTTTGTACTATCACCATGGTACTTAGTACTATGACTGTAATCATTTGTACTATGACTGGTCATTTGTACGATGACTGTGGTACTTTGTACGATGATCATGGTACTTTGTACTATGAGTGTGGTCATTTGTACGAAGCGTTACGGACAGACAGACAGACACAGGTGAATTTCCGTTTCTAGACCCTAGCCTTTCAGTCTAGGGAATAGAAGTATCCAATGATTAAATTGGATCCAGTAGAAATAAAAACAGATGATGATCTCCGTTTTGATAGCAAATTACTCTAAGAGAATTCATTCTAAAATTTTTGTGTACTTGGGTCTTACGAATATGGTCCCAATAAAATTTCTATTCAATCCGAACAAATTTAAAATTATAGTGCAACATTCGATCACATAGTTATTGACCTGTTTACTAATAGTTTTGTGAGACACTACTGATTTTCAGTTGGAATAAAAATTATTTAAAGGCTTTGAGCCCCATTTGTATCAGAAACTATCATCGAAACATGTGTAATGCATATAATGGTAAAAATTAATCATTTGCCTTTTTCTTTCTTTCTCATCAAATAACGATGTACATATAATCTAAATCATCAACGTTGATAAATGTAACAATGAGGTATTGTATGTTAAAGTAAAGGTAAGCAATAGAAGAAACAAACATAATGGAGAAACTAAATGTGACATATTGCGTTGAGTTGGCGACTGTTGTCATGTGAAAGTGTAAGAGCTAAACGCGGCAAAACGAGTAAGAAACAATCACTAACAATCAGTCATTGATGGCGACGCTTTCGCTTTTTTCGGGTCTTAAATTAATACTTCCTAATATTATACCATCAGCGTATGAAGAGATGATTACTGGGCAAGATGTGGTCATTCGATTTCTATTTGCCGAAGTTTGTTTCGATCAATATTTATTTTTGTTGTATTTTAAAGATTTTATTTCTCTAGAATTTACCTACTATGGATTTGCTTGGCGGAGCTGATCCATATTTCATTGCACAATTTGAGGATGAAATTTCATATATGCACGTATGGAAATCTGTAAATTCTGTTTATAACTTGACATTTTAGGTCAACAATTCAAAGCAATACATTATCACCTAAATGGGCCGATGAAGAATGGATTGTTCGTAATGTTCCACACAATGCCAAACTGACTGTTTTTGTCTATGACAAGAACGACAATTCGCTTAAAGATGATTTTATAGGTCAATTTGAAATTGGCGATTTGCCTAACTACAAATCTCTGCCAGAGGGTCATCGAATCCTAGATTCAAATGGCGGCGATAGGGGTCGTTTTCATTTAACTATTGAATCAGTAGAATCACCTGAATCAAGTAAGAAACTTCCTCGATATACATTCGATGGTCCTTGTCGTTATACTCGACATAGTTCCCCTATTGCTGGTTATTTAACTATGTTGAATAAGAATAATGTTTATTCAACATGGAAAATTAACTTAAGACGTATATCAGTATATTTTCGTCCACATGATCGTCAACCATGGAATCGACAATATCGAATAGCTCAAACAATTTTTGATGAATCTCCACGTTCGGTGGCTAAACAAAATGCCATTAAATTAGCACATAAAATGCTTTATGGACGAACAATAAAAAATAATGAAATGGGACGATTAAACAATGTTAATGATTTATGGACATTGATTTTTTCAGATGAGAAGACCAAACGCATGAGATCATGTCTTTATACTTACATTATTGATGATAATACATGAAGATTTAGTGAAACAGGTGTTGGATATTTTACTGATTTTGCAAGTAAACATGCGTTACATGCCAATTGTTGTGAATCTGTTCGTTATGCTGGTCAATTTCATCCTCGTCCTAGATTTGGATGGGATCGATGCGATGATGAATGGGAATTAGTGTTCGATAATTGGTCGGGAACATATGCACCTAGCTTGGATTTATTGAAGAATTTAAAAGATTTATTAGAATTTAATTTTCCTGGATTGAATGTTGTTGCATATGATTTCAAAAATCCTCTGGTGAGAGAAAGTATGGATCAATTGAAAATAGCACAAGAAAAGTTTAAAACAAATTCTTCATCTAACTACAATTGAAAATTGAATCCATTTACCGCTAGAACAACATCAGTAGATAATTCTTGATTATAAACTCAAAACTAGAATATCTTTCTTTCTTTCTTGTTCATTCGACATGAACAGGTTGTTTTCATTTTGTGCGATGATTTTATCTTGAACTAAACATTATAAATGATCTCACTACAAAACGATAATTTCTAATAAATAATTATGCAAACCTATCAAGAGATCTATTTGATATTAGTACTCGTAACCATGTCCGTTTAAGCTGTCATGATTACTCGTGCAGTTGAAACTTAGTTTCAATACTAACTTGGTAAATAAGAAATTCGAATTTGGCAACAAGAACGAAACGGAAAGTTAAGTCTACTTCAAAATTCAGCAACTCACTATCTACTCTAAATAAATTCATTTCATACTATTTACTAATTATTCACAGAAAATATTCACTCAATAGTAAGATTTCTTAGACTGAGCCATATAAATATAGATTTCACTAAATTGAGTCAAAATTTCTTTGAATAGTACATCTTTAGTATTTATTAAAATAGAATTTTGCATTATGTGGGTTTGAAGTCTATGAACCATGCAATATGTTCTCCTACATGAAACTTATTATCTATAAATCATAATGAATGATCATAGTAAGTATAATGATTCGGTGTGTGATTTTGTTTGCCAAACAACTAAATCATCGTCATTATCATTTGATTCTCTTTCGTTCTTTTCCAAGATTGCACAATCGTAATGCAAGTACGACTTCTATGTTGTTTTTCTTTCGCCACATTTTTTTTTAATGCACGGCACATGATGGAATGTATTTTCGATGCTGACACAAGTCCTTTTTTACCAAAGAAACTTGTTTCTGTTACAAACAATTATGAAACAGATTCATTTCATTATGATTATACAACGAAATTATTAAATTGTAAATTGTTAACAAGAAATCCATATCGATCTTATTTCAAACAAGTCTATCCAACTGAAATCAATGAGTATGAACTTACAGATGATATGTTAGATGTTTTAAAATCTTATACAAATAGTCTTTCTAACAAATGTTACATAAAAACAAATTTAAATTTATTAAGTGAAAATTTAGATGAAATCGATTGGATTTATGTTAATAAATTACGTTCATTAATAAGAGCTTTAACTCAATCAAATATTAAACATACTTATTATCGTGGTGTAAATCTAAGTAGTACAGAAATTCAATATTATATTGATAGACGAAATGATTATTATTATACAAATTCATTTACATCATTTACAATTGATCGTTTACTTGTTTATTCTGGTAATGCTCTATTAATTTTAAAGACTGAAAATTCAACTGACAAGGCGAAGAAAAATCTAGCAAATATTTGGAAATGGAGTATGTTTACAGAAGAAAAAGAAGCACTTTTAGCTGTTGGAACGAAATTGAAAATTTTAAGTGTACATTATTTTGGTTGTAAGTGGGAAATCGAAGTTGAACTAGCAGAAGATGATGAAGAAATCATAGAAAATAAAAACTAATCAAGTGGTAAATCTCACCATTCTATGCGTCACAGTTATTTTTCAATAAATGAATAATTTTTTCTTGCTAATTGTTATTTTGCTAGCCTTTATTAACAATAAAAAGGAGTAACCTCACTGAAACAAAATATACGTGTGTAAACATGTTCAACTCAATAGTAAAAAATAACACTGAGGCAATTAAATAGCTGTCTGTTACTTTACTAAAGATGAAAAATACTGTTTCATAAAAACAAGTAATGCATGAGTAATGTAAGTTTGTATATAATCATTACAGTACACTAACATTAGTAAAGCGCTGAACAACAACATAAAATCTCGTAAGTAAAATTTAATAAGAAATTAAAAAATATATACTATTCTCGTTATCTCCAATAATGCGACACTTTGCATTCATTTGAGCATAGGACCTGAAAAATTTTAAATTAAGATTCTAGACTTCGTTTCTAATTAGAAAGAGTAACTTCGTTTACTTGTTTTCGTCTTAATGCTGCAAAAGCTACAGTCACTGAGAAAAATCTATTAAATCAAATCGTCTTGAGGGTGTGGGTGTGGGTGTTCTTATTGTACTCGATAGTCACACCCACACCCTTTGCCTAGTTTTCACCGGATAGTGACACAAACGTCTAAATTTCGCGGGTGCTGGCTACAATCAAACAAAGTCAAGTTTCTATTTCATATTACTGAAAACTATTTTTCCGACTTAGAAACGTCCTAGAACTCTCTCGCTTGTTTTTAGTTTTACGTGTTCGAGGCAAGGGGGAAAGTGTTGGCTCCAAGCACCAAATTTTACTGTAAAGTGCTGAAGGTGCTAAACAAGTCCTAGAGATGCTGAAATATGCCAAAGATGTTACTAGTTGTGGAAAAGAAACAGTAAAATAAAGGAAAAGTATACAACAGGATGACATAATTCTCTGTTAAACTCATTGGTTTCCCTCGATCTTGGTGAATACACTAATTCCACAATAAAAACAGAGATGTGCCAAATTAAGAACCTGGATTCACTGAAAACCTGCATCTAACTTTATTAGCTTGAGAATCATCATTGGATTCTGATTATTTTCCACGAGTTTATTGTGTATTTTATGAAAACTCAATTTTTAACACCTGCAGCACCCCTCAAGAATCGTAAAAACGTTTTGTTCAAATTTTAGTGCAAGTAGTTATATTTCGATAAAGTTAAGTTCCCTGGTCGTAAATGCCATCTTATAGATTTTAAAATTCATTGGATACTAAGAAAGACCTGAAGCACTCTCGGGAAGACTTAAAAACAGCTATTGGCCCAAAGGTCCATGAATACTCGATTTATACTGTTTGAAAATAAGCCCCGCCGATACAGAATGTTTTTGTCTATCAGAATACATAAGAACGACTTAGATATTCAAATTTTTTTTTATCGATAAATGCTAAATCCCACCCCCGATTGCGTCATGCAGTTAGAAATGCTGCTTTTCTCAGTCTTATTAAGTGTAGCTTTTCGAAGTACCAGAAAGATTTTCTTACCGAATACGTAATTGAATATGCTCTTTCTAATAAAACTGTTTTCAAATTAACACTCGTTGTAATGTGAAGCGTTTTCGCTCCAATACTACTCTTGACACCGGATTTCTGTCATTTGTGACCGATATTCGATAGTTTCAAATAGGTTAATTCCCATTTGACTGAATATAAGTATTATATTTGTTTTAAGCACAAAATCTAATTCGATTTAATTATTTCTACAACTTCTGTTTTCGGTCAGATTTTTACCTCTGGTCCCCGTCATGGATAACGAAAAAAATAACTTATTCCAAGAACCATGTGGACAATGTTAAAAGTTTCCAAACTTTGGGAGTGATGTTTGAGATAAATAAAATAGATCAATTAATAATCAATCAAATAGTTGTTTTGAATAAGATATTTTGTTTTCATATGATCCTGAACGGGACCAGACTAAAAAACCTGACCGAAAACAAAACTTATATAAATAATTAGATCCGCTCAGATTTTGTGCTTAAAACAAATATAATATTTATTTTCAGCCGCGTAGGAATTATTCTGTTTGAAACTATCAAGTATCAGCCAAGCAATGATAGAAATTCGCTTCCAACACTAGTACTGAAGCGAAAACGCTTTACATTACATCGAGTTTTAAGTGGAAAACTCTTTTATTAGAAAGAGCACACTTAATTACGTATCCAGTAAGAAAATCTAACTGGTACACCTCGAAAAACTACACTTAATAAGACTGAGAAAAGCAGTGTTTGTAACTGTATGACCCCATCGGGGTGATATTTGGAATTTATCGAGAGAAAAAAGATTGAATATCTAGTCGTTCTTATATATTCTGATAGAAAAAAAAACATTGTGCATCGAACGGACCTATTTTTAAACAGGATAAATCGAATATTCATGGATCTTTAGGTCAGTAACTGTTTTTTAAGGCTCCGAGAGAGTGCTTCATATCTTTCTTATTATTCGATGAAATTCAAAACTGAGACAATACTTGTAATCAGAAAGCTTAGCTTTATGGAAATATAACTATCTATATTAAAACCAGAACAAAAAAAAATTTTCCACTCTTGAGGGTGACCTCAGGTGTTAAAAATTGAGTTTTCATGAAATACACAATAGAATTGGAAAAAAATTACAATTTAATGATGATTTTCAAGCTAATAAAATTACGTGCAGGTTTTTTTTACCAAGGAGTATGGCATTTCGTACAATGTCTTTTTTTTATACCTGAGAGATAGCAGAAGCTGTACAAATGCAATGGTGATAAAATGAAAAATAAACTGCTGAAAAATAATCAGAGCTCAGTGTTAGTTCTCACACTGATAAAAGAAGGATCAAAAGTTTTTGGTATATCATTTTGCAATTTGATATATGATTACTTTCGAAAGATACTTCTCTTTTTCTGTTGACTTTTTTATTCTGAAACAATTCTCATTCAGATTCTGTGAATAATTCAAGAAAAAATTCACCTTTGCTATTGCAAATTAAGGTAGTTTTCCCGATTCTTTTTCATACGATTGAAGTAAATCTCACTATGGAAAAGATGCTGCAGGTGCTGAGACGCTGGGGATTCCACGCCTACACTTTCCCCCTTGATGGGCTGACTATCGACAAGTTTGATCTCGTTTCAGACCTAGATCATTTGGAGTTCAACGAGAAAATGATTTCTGAACGGAACAACAAGAGTTAAATTCATACAATCGTTGATTATTGTAATTAATTTGAAAATAGATATAAAGCGACAAAGAATTTAGTATTATTCGATGTAGTGACTCTGCAAGATCCTGTTTTCAATATATAATATTCATACCCATACAGAACGTTTCATATACTGCATGTCTCTTTTTCATTTACCTGTATAGATCGTTGTTCACCTAAATATATTCTAATACTACTGAAATAAAGCAACCATAGAAAAGTTTAATAGTAACAATTCTGCTTACCGAAACTCAAAAAATTTTAGTGAAAAAAGTCTTTCTAATAATTCAAGGTTAGTTGATTAAGAAAAAATAATAACATAGGACCTTTTATTGTCTCCAGGTTAAATTTGAAATAGAAAATGTAATAATTTTCAAATACAACAATATTTTGCGTGATAGTTGTTAAATTCTGCGAGCCATCGAGGTAAGCAACATGCAAGTGATACTAGTCATGGAGTTTCTGTTTTTGTCTGTACTCTGCCACAATAAGATCGGCTGCTCTTGCGGCCACTGCATAAACCAGGGATTGTGTATTGGCTGAGAATGACGATGGAGCTACGGATGCATCAATAATTCTCAAACGTTCAACTCCCCAAACTTTCATATCGGCCGGATTTACAACTGCTAATGGACCAGTTCCCATCTTACATGTGCCGATGTAGTGAAATCCTGTAGTAGCATTTCCACGAATCCATTCAATCAATTCATCACGAGTTTGATAATTGGCACCAGGCAAAACTTCACGAAAATTCCATTTTGCAAAACTGGGCTGAGAGAGAAGTTTTCTACTAAGCAAAATCGAGTTAATTACTCGATCAAAATCTGATTCTACACTTAGATAGGCAGGATCAATCGCAGGAGCTATCAATGGATTTAAATTCTCTATCTTAACTGTACCCGTTGACTTGCATTGTTGAATATTGGGTGATAAAACTAATGAGTTTTGCCAATCAGATGGCCACGAATTTCCAATCATATTTCCTGTGCTAAATAACATTTCGATATTGGTTAAGCTACCGGTTCCATCGACATAAGGTACTTGTTGTGTTGTACTATTATCAACTGCAAATAGCACTGCACTTAGAAAAGAAGCAGGCGGGCTTTCTATTTCGACAAAATCAGTTGTATAAACCAAATTCACAACTACATCATCACGTAAGTTGATACCCACTCCTGGAAGATCTTTTACAACTTCGATACCCAACGATTTTAAATAAGTAGCATTGCCAATACCACTCAATTGTAGAAGTTTAGGCGTATTAATAGTTCCGGCACTGAGGATGAGTTCTTTTTCGACAGCAACTGAATGTTTACATTGATACTCTTCGCTATATAGTTCGACATGATCAACGGTAGGAAGTGGATCGTTAGTAAAGTTGAAACCAATAACTTGTAGACCAGTAACCAGTTGTAAATTGGCTGGCTGTAATGCTTGAAGATATTTTTGATACGATGTAACTCGATTGTACATCGATTTTGCCTGTTGTGTCATATTCGTGCCAACGTCATTGATACTCATAACAAAATTTGCCATACCAAGCATATCTGGCCCATGATTATAAGACGGATTATAGGGAAATCCTGCTGTTCTTGCTGCTTGAAAAATGGCATCGACCAGTCCTTGGGTGTCATTAGCAGGATAAACAACTCTTAAAATTTCTTCAACTGCATCAAAATATGGTATTACTGTTTCAGAATTCCAGTTCACGACACCTTCATTCATTTCCCAAGCATCCATCCTAGAAATAGAATAAAGACACGAGCTGCAATTAGAACATGCATTATTTACATTGCAGTTTTGCTTTTATTTTTAGTGCTTCTCATTCGAACTTTGAGAAAGATCACTGATTCAAACATTTTAAAATAACTCATGTGAAGAAGACTTTATACACATCGTACAAAAAAAGAAACAAGTAATTCAAGCACATTCTGATTTTTAATAAGCTAAGTTTTCTCATAAAATCAAGTCTGCTAAAGTGATGAAGTAATAGATCTTGTATCATCAGATAAATGCTAGATTAGACTCATGATAGATACTTCAATTAGTTCAAAACTTAAAAAATAACTTTTATTTCATTCTCACCACATTTTTATTAGGAAAAGCTGAGCTCGAATGAACAATTTATATTTTTAAATTTAAAACTCTGTTATATTGTTTCCTTGCAAGTAAAATATCAGATATCTAGATTATTTAAAAGAAACCAAAAAGACATATTTGATACGATTAAATAAATCTTTACTAACTAATTGTTTTTTGAATTCTAGTTAAAAACAAGAAAGTGTAATCCAAATTGAAGTTTTACAGTCATAGGTAAACAAAAATGGCAGTACTCATTTAGAAGACAGTTTTCTCTATGAAACATACGATGAAACCATAAAATTACTCGTTCTTATACTTACCACCTTTGTCCTCCTCTAACATATCCCATCGCATTATGCATGGCACTGCCTCCTGTACCTTTTGCAAATCCAAGGTTAATGGTTCTATTATTCAATGCCGTTTGAGCTACGGTAGTAAAATGCCATTCTAAAGTGTCATTATGTACCACATTAAGCCATAGAGCCGGATCTGTTATGTTTTCATTATCATTGGATCCCGTTTGAATACCAGCTTCAACGAGCAATATCTTCATATCTAGTGCAGTAGCAAGCTTCGTACTGACAATAGAACCTGCAGCACCTGCACCAATCACAATCACGTCATAGCTCTCTTGTAGATGTGTATTCGATGCAGACCGCAGCGCCAAGGAACATATAGGTATATCGTGTCGGGCTGCATGTGAATATTCCAATCTAGAGCCATGAACGTCGAAATGGATCAAAACATATACTAAAAAAATGTTGATCTGCATCCAAATATTTTCTACACATAGTCTCATACTATTGGCTTCAAATAAACAATGATGATATTGTTTCCGATTAATTTATTAACCAACAACAATTCACTTGTGGTTTAAGTTATAACGCGGATAATTAATGTATTACCGAATATTTAAAAAATAGATTTTATCGATAGAACACCGATAATAATTATCAATTAGCTTCTTGATAAGTGTTGTAAAGATTTACTCTACAAAGACTCTGCATATAATTATAACATACGAAGCATGATTTTGCACTAGTATATGTCTTTTATTGCCTACATCACTCCTATTTGTTTGCTCACAGCTAGATAAGAGAATAAACGTTGCTCTGCCTATTTTTGATGTTCTACAGATGATTGTGCAGAAAAAAATGACTCATTTTGTTTTCGATAGGCACATAAACATTACGACTAAGGCCAGTTTCAAATTAAAATATTAACTGGCATCGCAGCGGCTCTCTCAAAAAAAATAGGAATTCCTGTATAGAATAGGTCTAAAATATATAGGATCGCCCTCAACTATATAGGAAAAATATAGGATCAAAAATCTATTCCAGAAAAAGATTTAGACACCGAAAAATCACTGCAACAGCATTGAAGGTGATAATGTGTTTTTTTTTGCACGTACATCTAATCAGCTAAATAAAAATATTATTGAATTTCGAAAAGTAATGGAGCAGCAAGATTTTCTTAAAACATAAAAAAAACTAATTTATGTTCGATTTATTTTCACTATTGGACATACATGCACTTTAGGATGTGGGTGAGTTTCTGAACAAAATACTCACACATTCACATTGACACCCACCCACCCACACTCCAATTATTTCAATGAGCTTTTGTTTTCCTATGTGTTACATAAAGTACATTTATTCACATTACGGCATTCAGAGTCTGTTTTGTTCAACCAGTGCGGGCGAAACTTCGTATATGGTAACATTAATTTGAACATGAGCAAAATCAGTAAAATCAATTTCAAAATTTTAATTTTAAAATAAAAGATGAAATCTAGAACCAGATAAGAATAGTATTGACAAATGTAGAATGTAAATGTTAACAAATGTAGATGAACATGTCTATTATGAGATAATCTTTGATAATAGAAAGCAGCGTTTTATCCAGAATTTCTGGGTATGTTAAATCTCGGCGTCAGTGCATGGGACCTAGATNAGAAAGCAGTGTTTCATCTAGATGAACCAATAGGAAATAAGTGCCATACAAATTGTCACTGACAATATTTAAATAATGTGTTGAACACTTATCAGTAGTTTTTTGAATTTTTTTAGAAGAATCTTCAAGTTTTTCAAAAAACAAATAGGAATATACGAAAAAATCTCAAAATATAGTCTCCCGGGTCGAACATTCCGGTCCCCGGATCCCGTAGAATACTCCAGGGAATACGCGTGAAAGTCGCCATATTCTGCAGGAAAACACGGGAAATCGCTGGAACATGGAAACAGTATTCCGGTCAAAAATACGGCTGGACTTTTCCGGCGAATTCCTGCCAAGTTCCGGTGTTTTCCGGCAGGAATTGATCGGAAATCACCGGAAAAATTTCCAACCGGAATACTGCTTCCACAAAATCAACGGAACTACTCGGAACCGGCCGTTTCCAGGCCGGACTGTTCGACCAGGGCTATTATAGGATAAATTTTTAAAATATAGGAAATACAGGATATATAGGACTGCTACGAAGCCAGTTCATTATCGAAACATTTTTTCTAGTCATATGTTATATAATATTGTAAGGAAAACATATTTAGGCCGCGTAAATATTCTTCGAATAACTATCGAGATATATTGAATTGCGTATATATCCTGGTAGGATAATGGACAACAAAGTGTGGATCAGTATCAGCTATATATCTTTGCCAGTGTGTATATAATATTAACAAAAAATCCACACGATAAGTTTATTCTTGTCCAAAATGAGTTCTGTATGTTGTCTTTCAATACAACCGAATACAATCGTACGTGTTACAAAGCACAACGTTCTGCTAACTTAACTTGTTTAAAACTAAACAGAACCCAATACTCCTCTGATACTGCCCGCTATTTCACATAGAACGCGAGTTTTTATACTCGGGAGAAAATATAAATAGGAGAGAGCGAAACAGAGAGAAAGAGAGAAGAAGATAAATAGAGACACAAGGTATTGAGAGAGAAGGGAATACGGAGAAAGCAAAAGATAACTACCCAGGACGATGTTTCCGGCCTCCGGAAATGAGCAGATTTCATTGGAACCGGCCAGAAACATACTGGAAACGCACCGGAACGTGCAGAAAAGCGCCGGATATCATCGGACCCTGGAAGCAGGATTCCGGGACGAAATTTTCCGGTGATTTCCGGCGGGAACCAACAGGAACTTGGCGGAATTTACAGGAAAAATCCGTAGATTTCCCGATCCGGAATACTGCTTTCGTGAAATCGCGGGAATGCGCGGGAACCGGTCGTTTCCCGGGCCGGTTGCTTCGACCTGGGTAGAGAGAAAAGATACACAGAAAGATTACGTACTACTCAGTACGCGACTATGTGTTGTCAGATACAAGGATGTATATTAGTGATGTAAACTTAATTATGTCACTGCGATATGTTCATTCGTTCTATGATTTATAAGTGAATGCCCTGCGGTTTCTATAACCCCCTATTTAATCTAATTCTTCACGAGAAACGTACTTCTTGGCGCAAATATTTAAAGAAGTAACATTAAGTTCAATCTGACAAGTACGTAGACACGTCACCAGAAAAATTGTAAGAGGGAGGGGGTAAGTCGTTAGTCAAAACTATCGTAGGCGGGGGGGGGGGGGGGGGGGGACGTTTTT